TGTTCGGCTTTTCTTTGTGAACACTGAACAAAGCATCAGGGGCTACTGTCTATGCGGTAACACTTCTACTACATTTTAAAATACTTACCTCGAAGCCTGTTAGAAGGCTAGTACAGGCTTCAGTCAATCCGCTCTTGGCGGACTGAACCTTCTGGATCACCGCACTCATGATAGTGCGGTGCTCCTCCTCGATGGAAGCGCTGCGAAGTGCTTCCAACATAGTGTCCGGCGCCTCTGGGTGGACAGAGGTCACCGGCACTGGCGTCTCACCCTCCTTAGAAGGGGACCGCCTGCCCGAGCTCGGATCCGTTGGAGGGTCCGGCGTGGTGTTCGGCTGAGGGCCAAACTCGGAGCTTTTGGGGACCCCGTCCCCTCGGCTCCCGGAGTCCAGAAGGTCGCGTTGAGGCGCCTCCGGGACTGCCCCCTAATTCGGTGCCTCTTGAGACAGCACCTCAGTGTCGTCGGTCGAATGAGGGGAGGTGGCCGTTGGGACTGGATCACTATCCATGTCCGACGCGCCCAGGGAGCCGTCCGAGGATACCTCGATATTGGCTCGGGGCGGCCTGCGCAATTGAGTTCGACGTTAGGGAAAGCAATGCGACAAAGGAATCCTATGGGTTACTTTGGTATCCGAATACTTACGATCTCCCCTGGGGCTTGCCCCTGGGCAACCACTCGTCTTCACTTTCGTCGGCGGCGGTGGAGCTGTCCGAAAGGAGCGTCCTTCCCTTCTTGGACCCTTCGGCCTCCCCAGTTGGGGCGGCCTTCCTTTTCTTGTCTCCCCCAGTCGGTGGGGGAGCCTCCTCTTCCTCTTCCTCGTCTTCGGGGGAAGAGTGCACCGCAGAGTCATCGGACGGTGAGTCCGACGACACCTGGCGTCGGGAACTCTTTTGAGCTCCCTTGGCCTTCTTGGTCTTCTCTGGCACCTTATAAGGGGCCGGAGTCAGCATCTTCGTCAGAAGAGCGTCTGTGGGGCCTTCGGGCAAGGGAGCCGGACAGTCGATCTGTCCGACCATCTTCTGCCAGTCCTGTCAAAATTACGGGAGTTTAGATCCCGCATAGAGCCAATCTATATATATATATATAACAAATATCCTGTAAGAGGTAAAACAACTTACCGCACTGGCGTGGCGCTTCACGTTGAATCCGCGATCCTCAGTAATGGGGGGAGGGACCGTGGCGCCCTTGAACAGCACCCTCCAGGCATCTTCATGAGTCCTGTCGAAGAGCCTGTTCAGAGTTCGGTGTTGCGCCGGATTGAACTCCCACAAGGCAAACTCCCGTTGTTGGCACGGGAGTATCCGGCGAACGAGCATAACCTGGACTATGTTGACAAGCTTGAGCTTTTTATCCACCATGTTCTGAATACATGACTGGAGTCCGGTCAGCTCTTCTGAATTACCCCCAGGACAGGCCCTTCTCTTTCCAGGAGGTGAGCCGCATGGGGATGCCAGATTGGAACTCGGGGGCCGCTACCCATGCGGGGTCACACGGCTCGGTGATATAGAACCACCCCGATTGCCACCCCTTTATGGTGTCCACGAAGGTGCCCTCGAGCCATGTGATGTTGGGCATCTTGCGCACCATGGCGCCTCCGCACTCCGCCTGGCGGCCGCTCACTACCTTCGGCTTGACATTGAAGGTCTTCAGCCATAAGCCAAAGTGGGGCTTGATGCGGAGGAAGGCCTCGCACACAACGATAAACGCCGAGATGTTGAGGATGAAGTTCGGGGCCAGATCATGGAAATCCAGGCCATAATAAAACATGAGCCCTAGGACGAAGGGATGGAGAGGAAATCCCAGTCCGCGGAGGAAATGAGTGAGGAATACCACCCTCTCATGGGGCTCGGGGGTGGGGATGATCTGTCCCTCATCTGGGAGCTAGTGCGCGATGTCATCGTGCAGGTATCCGGCTCTCCTCAGTTTCTTGACGTCTCCCTCCGTGAGGGAGGAGACCATCCACTTGCCTCCCGCTCCGGACATGGTTGGAGAAGGTTGAGGTGGAAGTGAGAGCTTGGGCGCTAGAGCTCGAGTATGCGGGAGCGGATGAGCAGAGGAGGAAGAAGGCGTGGATAGAAAGGTGAATCCTTATCCCTTTATATGGGCGGACAAAATTAAACATCCCCACTTGCCTAGTAAAACTCGCTTATCCCCCAAGCGCCGCAATTGATGGCGCGGTTGGGTTACCCACGCCCGTATTGATGAGAATCCCGTAATAGGGGGACACGATCTCTGCTTTGACAAGAGGTGTCGAAAAACTGCCTCGCGTTATGTGCGGGGCTGGTTAAAAGAAACGGTTCGAATAATCATCGGGCCATGACGTAACGTCATGTTGCCAAAGCAAGCTAGCGTATTAGATCTGTGAAAGCATTATTCTCTACGGCGAAGTGTGGAACTTATTTTGCAGGGTCGGACACTATCCTCGTATTTAAATTCTTCTGTGATGTATTCGGAGAAGGAACCCGCCTTGCAATGCGGAAGACAACTGCGCGCCGGACTCATCGTCATTGAAGCCTGGTTCAGGGGCTACTGAGGGAGTCCTGGATTAGGGGGTCTCCGGACAGCCGGACTATCTCCATTGGCCGGACTGTTAGACTATGAAGATACAAGATTGAAAACTTCGTCTCGTGTCCGGATGGGACTCTACTTGGCGTGGAAGGCAAGCTAGGCAATACGTATATGGATATCTCCTCTTTTGTAACCAACCTTGTGTAACCCTAACCCTCTTCGGTGTCTATATAAACCGGAGGGCTTTAGTCCGTAGGACAACAATCACAACATACAATCATACCATAGGCTAGCTTCTAGGGTTTAGCCTCTCTGATCTCGTGGTAGATCTACTCTTGTAACACTCATATCTTCAATATTAATCAAGCAGGACGTAGGGTTTTACCTCCATCAAGAGGGCTCGAACCTGGGTAAAATTTCGTGTCCCTTGCCTCCTGTTACCATCCGGCCTAGACGCACAGTTCGGGACCCCCTACCCGAGATCCGCCGATTTTGACACCGACACTCATCTTCAACCGCATTGCATCCATCTTGATCTTGTGATCATCGACGACATCCGCAACATGCAACTCCAATATCATTTTCTCCTCCTCAATTTTTTTATTTTTTCCTTCAAGTAATTGTTTTCTTCTTCAACTAAATTTAACCTCTCGACAATAGGGTCGGTTGGAATTTCCGGTTCAACTACCTCCTACATAAATAAAATATATGTCAACTTGATGGGCATAATTGTCATAAACAATAAATGAACCAAATAGTTATAAAAGATAATATATACCACATCCGAATCATAGCCAGGACAAGGGCCGATGGAGGCGGATACCAAAACCATCGCCTTATATAAGCACAAGCAATAATAAAAGTAAGAAAAAAATAGACAAGTATCTATCTAAAGTAAGAATTTTTTTCTTTCAGAAGAAGATAAGAGGCTCACCACAGTGGTGCAGGTGACGAGATCGGCGCGGGCAATCGACGGCGGTGAAGACGGGGACGGGATGTGATGGACCGCTAAACCTAGACAAATCTCGGGGAAAATGAAGCTTGGAGGTCGAGCTTCGAGAGGAGAAAGCTTAACTAGAGTGGCTTGGGCATTTCATCAAACACCTCGTGTGCATAGGAGGTGAGCTAGAGCACCCAAATGCCCTCTCCTCGCCGGCCAGAAAAAACAGAGCACTGTGGAGTGCTCTGCTGCAGCGACGGTGTATATATATGCAACTCATTTGTCCCAGTTCATGGCTGGAACCGGGACTAAAGCCCAGCCTTCTGTCCCGGTTCGAGCCAAAAACCGGGACCAATGTTTGTGGGCCAGGAGCGAGGCCCATTGGTCCCGGTTCGTGCCTGGAACCGGGACAAATGGGTCCATACGAACCGGGACCAATGCCCACGAGGCCCCGGCCGCCCCCCTGGCTCACGAACCGGGACGAATGCATCCATTGGTCCCGGTTCGTGGAAGAACCGGGACTAATGGGCTGGCCAGGCCCGAACGATAGCCCCCTTTTCTACTAGTGAGAGATATTGTAGGGTTAGTTGGCTTGTCACGCAAGACACCACCTGTATATATTGTAACCGACTCTGATGGAATACAATGAATTGCATCCTATAGTCTTCTACATTGTGTCGAGGAAGCAGTGGCACATCCATTAATGACTCGTAATTAATTTTGAATTAATTATTCATTTCTGACCGATAAAAATAAAGCACAAGCATATCATAGTTTTGAGCTTGATGTTTCACGACGCGCGCCAGGCGGGCGGCGGAGGAGCGAGTGTATCACTCCTACTCTGAAGCACCAATAGCAAGTAGACGAGGACCCCTTGTAAATACTTCCTTCGTCTCATAATATAAAAACATTGGGACGGCGAGAGTAGATCTCAACTTTTTTTCACTAGTGATATGGTACTAAACTTCTCATTATGTCTTGACATCTTATATGGATCTGAGAGATTAATCATGAATTATTGTTTATATGGGTTATTAAGACCCATCTAATTTAACATTGGACCAGTATGAAGGGTATGGCTGGGTCATAATTTCTTGGCCGGCCACTTACATAGCCATCCGTCGAGATGTACAGGAGGGTCCGACTGTAGCTGTTCTCACAGCAAAAAATTTTGCAGGCAAGAAAGAAACCTCTGGACACGCCTCATCCGCTTCCCTTCCCGATCTGACACCCGCTAGTGCGATTGTTGGGCCTATTCTTGGCAGTGGATAGGTTGTCGGAGCACGGGCACACTGTACTCTCTCGCTCAATTATAAAGCAGGACCTCGACATCACACGCGGCACCTGTCCATTGCACACATAGAGAGAGCGAGCGACGGACGACTTGCTGCTGGGAAGACGATGGAGCAGAACACGGCGACGAAACCCATCAGATGCAAAGGTACTCGCCGTCGTCCCCGACGTACTTGCCTTCGTCTACCTCCATCCTTCGTCCAAATGCGTAGCTTCACGTGCAGCGGCGGTGAGCAAGGTGGCCGGGCAGCCGCTGGAGATGGAGGAGGTGGAGGTGGCGCCGCCGCGGGCGCACGAGGTCGGCATCAGGATTCTCTGCACCTCGCTCTGCCACACCGACGTCACCTTCTGGCGCATGAAGGTGCGTGGGTCCTTCGCCTTCGCCTATGCCCATATGCGATGCCAGAATTTGATAATCAGGGCATGCTGACCTTTCTTTTCCTCTTTTGCGTAGGATTTCCCGGGCCAGCATCCGATAATCCTGGGCCATGAAGCAGCCGGGTAAATGCATGCATAATCTATCTATCGTCTTCCTTTCGCTGAATGATTACCATCCACGATGAGATGTGAAGCTATGTGCATCATGGCGAACTGTTTTTGTGTCTTTCGTTCCCAGCGTGGTGGAGAGCGTGGGGGAGCACGTGCACGAGGTGGCCGTCGGGGACACGGTGGTGCCGGTGTTCTCGGCGCAGTGCGGCGACTGCCCCGACTGCCTCTCGGACCGCAGCAACATCTGCTCCGGGCTCCCCGCCGGGCCCGGCATGCCCCGCGACGGCACTACCCGCTTCTCCTTCGCCGCCACCGGCGAGCCCATCCACAACTTCATCGGCGTATCCAGCTTCACCGAGTACACGGTTGTCGACGTGTCAAACGTCGTCAGGATCGGGCCCGGCGTCCCGCCGGAGAAGGCCTGCCTGCTCAGCTGCGGCGTCTCCACCGGTAACTAATCTTCACCGACAGCTAAAGCATCCAACGAGCAAATTGGTTGATTGGCGGCCGGTTGCAGGTGTTGGCGCGGCGTGGAAGGTGGCCGCGGTGGAGCCCGGGTCCAGCGTCGCCGTGTTCGGGCTCGGCGTCGTCGGGTTAGCGGTAACGTTCGACGACGACACCTCGGAATCACATGCCCCTGCTAATAATGTGATGTCTGGTTCAAGTTGTCGGCTCGAATGTTGGCCTGACGTTCTAGTGGTTGTCAGTCTGTCACAGCACAATGTACACCGCACGTTTCCAACAAGTGCGATCTAACGTGGCTGCGGTCTGCAGGTAGCACAAGGGTGCAGGATGCGTGGGGCTAAGCAGATTATTGGAGTGGATCTGAACCCGGAGAAGCGCGACATCGGTATGTATCATAAGTTGATAGTTATCTACGACTAATCAATTCATCTGAAGAAAAAATAAGTCAGGATAGTAATGAATGAACAATTGCAGGTAAGAGGCTGGGAATCACCGACTTCATCAATCCGAACGACACCGGGGAGAAGGCCGTGAGCGAGGTCCGATTCCGAATCGACCGACCTGCGCGACAAGTGCATTTTTTGGGTACTGTATTAATTTACTATACTACGTAGTCGCTAATGAACTTTTGGTCAATCGATCTCCGTCTAGGTCGTCAAGGAGATGACCGGCGGCGGCGCCGACTACTGCTTCGAGTGCATCGGCTCGACGTCGGCCATGGCGGAGGCATTCCAAAGCTCCCGGAAGGTAGGCACGGCCCATGCATGCCACATTTTCCACATCACGAGAGTCTGAAGCTACTATGTTAGACGGACTAACGGACGGTTCATTTTCCATGGCGATTAATTGATCAAAACAGGGCTGGGGGAAGACGATCGTGCTCGGCGTCTCCAGCGGCGGCGCGCCGATGAGCATACCCCCGCACGACATCCTCTGGGGGAGGTCGGTCGTCGGCTCGCTCTTCGGCGGGCTCAAGCCCAAGACCGACATCCCGATCCTGGCGCAGAAGTATCTGGACGAGGAGCTGGAGCTGGACGAGTTCGTGACGCACGAGATGGGGTTCCACGACATCAACGCGGCGTTCGAGCTGCTCACGCAGGGGAAGTGCCTCAGGTGCATCCTCTGGATGGACGGGGCCAGGGAGAACGGTAGTGTCGGCGTGGAAAATGGACGCGCGTGCAAGGCCAAGGCGTGACTGGCATCGTTGTCCTCTCGTGACTAGCCACGATAGTCATTGCTCGTCTGTGGGCGACCTATCATTGTCCTGGGCTTCGCTGTAATGTCGTTGTTCATTTGCAAGCCAGATGTGGTAATTTATTTTGCAGAGAGAAATGCGTTTTTCTCGAGAGAAATGCATTTTTTGGGAGAGAAATATGTTTGATCCTTTTAAAAAAATGATCAAATCTATTACTCTATAAAAGTTCACAGGAAGTACAAAACATGTCGAACATAATAAAATTTGCATCGAGATTCTGTGACCATCGGACGTTCACTACTACCGTCAGAACGAGCAGCTGATGCGCCCAGTAACGAGCCCACCGAGTCTACTCTGCACGCCAACGCCTTGAGCATCGTAGGGTGTGTTACACCTCTGAGTACAACCGCAAATGCTCGATGTCTTCACCCTCTAGGATAATTGTCGCGATGGCACCCCACCTGTTGTTCTTTGCAACCGCTACATCAACAATGATCTTCATACATCCCATCCGAAGTGAAATCCACCTCACCACCAGTTCTCGTAGTCCATGCCGGCCTCCTCTCAGCTTGTCCCTCGCCCACTAGAAAATTATCCATAAAAATGTGTCAAGTGCGAGCCCAGGAAGATTTCCCCGTGAGTAACCTTTCTCTGTCCGTGCTATGGTCGCCCACATAATCACCGCAACCCTAGTGAATTATTCATGCTTCATATGATCTATCAAGGTAAAGAGCCACTTTCATGTCGATGACACAATGTTTTATTAATATATAATTCAACGATTAGTTCAACCCCTTGCGCCTATACACATCGCACATCATAGAATTGACGAGCGGCTGCGTCCATGAGTCTTTGTGTTATAATTTTTGCATATGTTGTTGTCAGCAAGCCTCCACATCAACACTATGGGGACACACATAAAAACACATCCACGGAAGCCTTCAACTACTGGAGGGTGGCATTTTAGTGCCCACAGACATCTATACCCGCCCATGAACAGTAAAAAAAACTGAATTCTTTTGGCATCCAAGATGCCCGGCTGCGCTAGGAGCGTGCGGAATTTTGAGGGCACATGATATTCAAGGAGATCTATAAAAAATCGGCTCTCAAAGAAATTTTGAAAAAGGACATTTTGGAGATCCTTTTTTCCTTTTATCTTAGAGCTTCTCGTTGGTCATTTCACCACCAAATTTTGCACACTCCTAATGCACTCGAGCATCCTATTTATTTTTATAGGTAAGTTGTTTTGGATACAAGATCCAAGGCATCACAAAGTACCTCTCACAACTAAGAATTACAATAAAATCTTTTGAAAAGCATCTTCTCCATGGTGTCAATCTTTAAAAGATGAAATACCGCCAAGACTTTAGTAAAGAGATTGCAATTGGACTGGCGCAAAGCTAGTGTTACTCGTTCACCTGCACAAACTTGATTACCAAGAAAATGTTTCTAAAAGCTTCATGAGTCGTCCGTCCAAAAAGATGTGAAGTCGTGAGCGATGAATGTGTTTGGGGTGAGGATGATCCCCAAGAAATACAAGTCAGTGAACCACAAAAACTTCATCATAGTGTCTTGAAAAGATTCCACTTCCAAAAAAACCCAAGAAAAGAAACATGACACGATAACATAAGCTCATTAGATCCAAATAATCGGCTCTGTGCATAACTCTTTGTTTCCATTGCACCGCCACAACGAACTGGAGTAATTTATTCGCAAAAATACCATGATTATTGCTAGATGTTGACGAAGACTCTAAAATTCTTGAAAATTCTAGGGCCCCCACCTTTTAACACAAAGATGGCATCTGGGGGCAAGGGTACCAAAACTTCCTTGCGGCGGCAGCTATTATTGGGAGTAACTGAGCTGGGCTCATCTGTGGGATTACCGATAGCTCTTGATGTTTTTTCTTTTTTTTTTAGAATATTTTCTTTTTGTCCTCCTTTGATTTACATGAATTTTGTAGAAATTTTGAATGATGTAAATTTTGTAGGAAAATTTTCTTTGAAGTCCTTTGGTTCGTAGGTATAGAATCCTATTCCTATAAAGAATATACTCTTTGTATTTCAAAGGGGGGAAACATTATCCTTGACTCAAAGAAAAGAAAATCCAATCTTATGAACCAAAATACTCCCTCCAGCCCAAATTAATTGACACAGACTTAGTACAAAGTTGGAGGGAGTAACATTTCTTTTTGAGAAACATGAGCCAAATAACATACATGTCTTTCGTACGAGATACATTTTTTTTAGGGATTCCTACGAGATACATTTTTTTGAGACAATCCTACGAGATACACGAACTTTTTGAGTCAGATGAAAAGACCGGACCATCAAGCCGAAACATAAACGGCCGTGTCGTCATAGCCCGGCCCAAAACAACCTACCTTTCCTGTTCTTCCGAGGGTACTTGGGGGGGCCAGTCTCTTTTTCCTCGTAGATAGACCACGCCCACCAGCTCTACCCTCCGGTCGTTTCGCTCTCCCCTCTAGCTCGCAGCCGCCGCGCGTGACTCCAGATCTCCCGCGGCGCGACCATGGCGGCGGAAGGCAAGGTCCCGACGCTGGCCGAGGTAAGGGAAACCACACCCCCATCCGTATGCACTCTGCCCTCTTATTAGCTTAGGGTTTCCCTATGTGATTACGCGGCCGCTCCGGGGGATCGGTGCCGTGCCCCGGCCAGATCCGGCGATTTTTATCACCCCGTGGCCGGATTTGGGCCGAGAGATGGAAGTAGAATCGCACTGGTAGGTTTAGGGGTCAAGTGCCAGTGGCTTCTGTGTTTGCGATTGGAGCTGATTGGGTTATAATTGATGTTCGCTGCTGTCGAAATAACCTCATCCAGGTTCTGTGCCGTCAGATTTTGTTGTTATTCTGCGCTACTTTGGTGCGCACGAAGACACCGCTCCATAGAATTTGGCAGATTTTCATAGGTTCGGAAGAGAGCAGTGCCTGTTTTGGCTTTACAACAATTTTTAGTTGCCTGAGTTGTAGAGTTGGATTGATGTTATGCTTTTATATTTTTGTGTGTTGTATACACTGTTGTATATGATTTGCTAGTGTGACACTATTTCTGTAATTACAAGTAAAAGTGACTGTGATCTTCATCCTTCCCCCCTATGGAGGTGGTGGTTGAGATTATAGTTGAACCTTTTCCATGCATAAAAATGTATAACCCGTGAACCACTGCAACTGAGAACATGAGCTGTACTTGTAAGGTTGGAGGTGCTTGCATCTGTTCCTTGCTCCTGCACCAGTTAATATGATGTATGAACTCATGCCGATCATCTGCTTGCTTAGATTTGGAGCCGTATACAAGAGATTTGTTAGCCTGCGGATTGGATCCCTAGCATGAATTTTAATTTCTGTATTTTTGTGTGCTCATTTCATGAATCAAAGCTGACTTCTCTGTCGCTAGTTGTTCATACTGAAATTGATATTTCATGCTCCAGACCTAGTTTTGAGAACTTGAAATCCGCCCTTGCGCAGGAATATTCACTCCCACCCAAGGAGGTCCCTGTGGAAAAACCAGCTGAGGAGAAATCTGCTACGATCACTGAGGCCTCACCAGCTGATGAGCCTGCTGCTGATGTTGAGGAAAAAAGTGAAACTCCTGAGGTGAAAGAGCCAGAAGCGGAAGAAACTGTTCCTGCTGCAGAGGAAAGCGATGCGGCTCCTGAGGAAACTGAAGAGAAACCAGAAATTGTGGTATGATATTACTAACTAGTGGCAAATAATTACATCTATAACTCTTAAGTCATTGCTAAACATATGCTGAAATACAGATTGAGACGGCTCCAGCAGATTTTCGTTTCCCCACAACAAATCAAACAAGACATTGCTTCACACGCTATGTTGAATACCATAGGTATGGTCCCGCCCTTTCGCCTCTTGGAAATGGTAAATTGTTAGTGCATTTGGATCATGGACAAGAACTGTTGTTTTGTGGCAGGTGCGTAGCTGCAAAAGGAGATGATGCTCCTGAGTGTGAAAAGTTTGCAAAGTACTACCGATCACTATGCCCAAGTGAATGGGTATGTACTTTGTTTCATGCCTTAGTTTCTCTCCACTGCTGCTCGACAGTTTTCCCTGAGATGATGAGATTGGTGTTTTCTATAGCATATGGAGATTTGGTAGTTAGTTTATGTTTCCCTGCTTACCTTGAACTTGGCTAGCAGTGTTGTAATTATCCGAGGACTTCCATTAGATCCTGAAACCTTCCTCATGCAGCAATAAAGTGTTTATCATTTGATAAACCCAAACCTTTCCGTGTCAGGCTTATTCTCTCCAGTCTTCCTTTAGCCATACATATCCTTTCTGGTCAAGAGTTGCTGTTAATGTAGCAGTGTCTTTACCGAGTCCGCACGTCCTGAACCCGGGTACACATAAACCCGCTTTTCAAAAATATATTTTAAACGCGTTTTGAAATGTCAAAAAATTCAGTGCGTGCATGTTCGCAAACTATGTCCGTGGCACAAAGTTTTGTGAAAAAAGGTCTTTATTTTTTTTCTCTGCAAAAAAGACAAATTTTAGTGTTTCTAAATAGCGTTCCACGACACAATGTTGTCTTTTTTGCACAGGCCAGAAAAAAAGTTGTTTTTCCGTGAAACTTTCTGCACACACATAGAATATGGAGATGTGCGCATGCACTTTTTCCAGAATATTTTGGCATTTCAAAATTTGTTTTCCAAAGTGGGTTCATCCATGTACTTCCCTGTCTTTACCTTGGTTCGCCAGGAGTTGGTTCGTTGAGTTGCATGGTTGATGTTGTAGTCTGCATGAGATTTGGAGAACTCAGAAACCTTGCAAAATTAACATCTGTGAATTAAAAACCTGATACTTCATGGCTTATGATAATTTTGCTTAGATGGTTTCCATATGAAATTATCTTTGTGGGTAGGCTTTAGCTCATATATTGCTGTGCTATGTAGAATGTCTAGGATGATTGGTGAACCTTTTTTACGTGGTCTTGATGGCTATCTTTCCGAGCTGGTGGCATTTGAGC